GCTGGGGGAGGGGTCAGAGTTGCGAGCAGGCCCGGCCCCAGGGCGCCTGGCCTCCACTCCCGGTCCCCCAGCTTCCCAGCCCTCCCCAGTATTTCCAAAGATCTGGGGCCGGAGCGGGCGGAGACTGCAGCCAGGCGCCTTCCCTGGCTGGGTAGCCCAGAGCTGCGCCGCTGCTGGGGGCCCATCGCCCAACTCTAGGTTTCCCTGACCTCTCACGTCGGGACTGGGAAGGGGCAGCCTTCCTGACTTGAGGAGGGGGCTGGGATCTTGATGGGCCGGCAGGAAGGAAAGAATTAAGCGCCCTGGTAGATTACGATGGGGACAGGAGGCCGCCCGGGAACAGGTGAGAGCGCCTTGTTTAGCATAGATTATGCAAGTTTGAGGTGCCTAGGAGCCCAGGCCCCCGTGCTGGGCCATCTGGTCCCTTGCCATCCCGGGGATCCAGGACAGGCTCCTCCCTCTCCTGCTGGCCCAGTCACTGAATGCCCGGCTTTCCCAGCAATCAGCCCTGTGAGCCTGGGGTGGAGTGCTCCGTTTGCATCCCAGATGCCCCCGCTGGCTCCCCCAGGGCCCCCTCTGCCTGACCCTGCTGATGTGGATCCACTGGGGCCAGTGTCTGGACTCAGCCCAGTGGGGCCCACTTGGTGGGGTACCTGGCAGCAGCCTGTGGGGATGCTGGCCGTGACCATGCCTGCACATTCCAGAGCTTCCTTCAGGACAGCTCAGAGCTCCTCCTACCCAAACCTCACTTTACGGAGGAGGAAACCGAGTTCCCTTCCTCCCTGAATCACTTGTTCCCGGGGAACAGGCCCAGCTTGGCACTGTTCTTGAACATCTTCAGCTCCTGCTCCCAACCCCAAGACATCAGCCCGGGTCCAGGGCTGGGCAGGAGACCAGGGGCCCATTCTCAGGACCTCCGCCAGCCCCTCCCAAAATCTGTCCTCTCCCTGGCTTCTCCTTCCGGACCAGCATCCCCAGGCCCTAAATGCCCTTCCCTCGCCCACGGCTATCCCCAGCAGAAAGCACCAGATGCTCCTCCCACACCATGCCTCCTGCAAAACAGAACCAGAACCTCAGCTGGTCACATTCAAAGTGCTTTCTCCACCCCCTGCCCAGGGCCTCTTCCCAAGGGAGGGTCCTGGTGTGCGGTAGCCCCCACGGACTCACACCCACCCAGCCCAGCATGTGCCTGTTGCCTCTGGTGTGATGGTAGCACACTGCTGGGTCTCCTGGAGCCTCCCCCCAGCCACACAGCGGGGGGCCTAGCAGATAGGAATGGAGTCATTGCCTTCAGTGCAAAATAACACTGAGTGGGAGAACTGTCACCCCCACCCCCCAGCACAGAAGCTGCCCGTGAGGGTGCTCGGCTAGACATGCCTCATGTCCCCAGCCCCGCTCGGTCCCCACGTCAGGCACAGAGCTGGCCCACGGAAAGTTCTGGATGCAGGTCAGCTAATGTCATTACTGGTTGCCGTCTGCCTGTTACCAGCCCAGGCCCTTGGACTCTTTAATCAGAAGCCACACGAGACTTCCAGGCAAGGTTTCACGAGGGCCCGCGCTGCAGCACAAGGGAGCAAAAGCAAGAAACAGGCGCCCTTGCCTGCTCCCGGAGTAGCTGAGGGGCCTTAAATGGGGTGCCGTGGGGATGGCTCCGTGGGTCAGGCACTTAGCTCGTCCGTCCAGCCCCCTGCGCAGGAGTCGTGCGTGCACAGCACCTGCTTTTGCTCCCAGTACCTCAGAAATACAGTTTGTGGCGTTTTGCACCCTATTGTCCCAGCTACGCCTAGGCGCAGTTACTTTTAGTCACTTAAAACTTGTTTCCTTCTTCCTTGTTGCTCAAGGAGACATTTGTCCGGCTGCAAGCACCGCGGTAGAGGATCCCAGGTCCCAGCCTGTCTCATAACCTGCCCCCATCCCACCCCTGCCAGGACTGCGGGCAGGTGCCACTCCCTTGGCCTCCCTTCCTGTGTGATTCCGAGAATGTTACGAGTGCCCCCATCTGGCCCCTAGTGTCGCCTCCGCCAGCCACTTTTGCCACAAGCTTGGGGAAGGGTCTCAGCCAGAAGGAGTCTGCACTGAGCGAGGAGTAGGCTAGGAATGGAGAACGGAGCAGAAAGACCCTCTGTACTCTGGCCCCGCAGCTGCTGCCCCATCTACCAACGGAACGCCAAGGCCAGTGGCTCTGGCCCATTTGGAAGAGTGAGGCGCTGCCCCAGCCCCAGGGCTCAGCACAGGGAGGGTGGCAAGCCTCACCCACCAACCAGCGGTCTTTTCAGAGCAGGGCTGACTTCTTTGGCTTCGTGAGGCCCCAGACGCCTGCCCGCACCAAAATGAAGGTCTTCCTGCCGGTGCTGCTGGCTGCCCTCCTGGGTGTGGAGCGAGGTGAGATGCCCTGGGGCCCCCGGCCTCTGGGCGGGCTGTGCCCTCCTCCTGGACTCCCTGTCCCTCTTCTCCTCCGTGCAGTGCCCAGGGGCCCTTCCGTTGGGTGCTTGTGTCACCTGCCCTGTGCTCTCCCCCAGAGCAGCAGTCACTCCACCCCACCCCCGCTCCCACTGGAGTCACTGTGCTTCCTGGCCCCCCCGGGCCTGGTGTACCGCGGCTGCTCAGTGAACGCCTGCGAAGGCCGGGCGCCCACAAGCCTCTGGGCCAGGGCTGGGAGGGCTGCGGGAAGACTCCCCTGCGTGAGACGGGCGCCCTCCTCGCACAGCCCGCTCCCTGGTGTGCTTCTCCTGCACAAATAAGAACAGCAACTGGTACTGCCTGAAGCCCACCGTCTGCTCCGACGCCGACAACTACTGCGTGACCATATCTGCATCCGCTGGCATCGGTGAGCATGGGCAGCCAGGCCCCCCGGCCCCGGCTCTGTCCCCTCTGCCCCTCCACTCACAACCTGGTCTTCTTGTGCAGGGAACGTGGTGGACTTTGGCTACACCCTGAACAAGGGCTGCTCCCCGATCTGCCCCGGCCCGAGCGTCAATCTTGGAGTGGCGTCCGTGGGCACCCACTGCTGCCAGAGCTTCCTGTGCAACATCAGCGCAGCCGACGGCGGGCTGCGGGCCAGCACCCACGTGCTGGGCCTCGGGCTCCTGCTCAGCCTGCTGTCCGCCCTGCTGCGGCTTGGCCCCTGATTGCCAGGACCCTGTGCCCAGCCCAGACCCCCGAAGCTCAGGAAGGAAGGAAAGCGCAGCCCCTCCTGGACCACTGGGGATCTTGAAGCCGCCTCCTCTGACTTGTCACCTTGCCTGTCACCCCCTCCCCCTGGCTCTGGGTCCCCACAGGCAGGCCTGCCCCTGTACCTACACCTGCCAGCTGCCCACCCTTCCGGGTCAGCCTTCCTGGGGGAACCTGGGAACGGCGCCTGGGGGTTCCGGAGTCAGAACCAAGTCCTGGGGACACACTGGGAGGGGCACCTAAGCCCCAGGCCTGCCCTGTCCAGGCCCTGTTCCACCCCCAGGTACAGAAGATGTGCTGTGTGGATGGGTGTGTGGTCAGTGCACCCTGCCAGGCATGGCGGGGGGCCTGTGGGCCCTGGGTTTGGGAGAGGGGTGTGGGAGTAAGCATCGGGGTCCCCAAGCCCCTTTCCCCTAGCATCTCTACACCCTTTATTTCATCACTTCGAGGGCAGCCTTTGAGGGCACAGGGCTTCCACTGATCCCACGTCTAGGCTGCTGACCCAGGAATCTGCTCCTACCCCCAAATCCAGCTGCAGCTCCCACCCCACTGGAACCCCCTGCTGCTTTGGTGCCTCAAATAAACACAGATCTTCCCACCCCTTCTTGCTTTGGGTGTGACTGCCTGTGGCCCACCTGCCTGGGACTGCCCCTCCCAGCAGGATCCTAATGTGGGGAAGGCAGCAGCAGAGACCCAGAGCCTGGGGGGAGAGGGGTCTGGGGTCCTTGTGATAGGGGCCCACATTGAGGCCCACTTGAAGGCAGTGGGGGAAAGTCCACAGCCAACTGCCCTCGGCTGGGTGGGGTCACTGGGGAAGTTCATCCTCAGAACAGGACTGGACAGGGGAACCAGGAGAGAGGTCAGCCTGCTTCTGGGAGGAAGTCAGGACCCTACAGAGGGAGGGGTGAGGCTGAGCATCAGGCCCAGCCAACATCTTGTGGAAGGATGCAGAAGCACGTCAGAGCAGTCTGGTGGAGACTCGTGGGGTAGTGAAAGTGTCATGGTTCATTGAGTCAGACCAACATTAAAAACCCAAGCAAGAAAAAATTCAGTGGGAGGGAGATCAGACTAGCCTTCAGGAATGCTGGTTCTCCATGGAGTTCTGAGTCCTGTAAAAGGAACGTTTCTCACAGTTCAGCTCCACAAGGATTAAGGTGCCGCCCACCTGCAGTGCGCCCTGAAGGCAAGTCCAGAGCAGAGTTGGATGAAGCACTCTGTGTTGGATGTAGGCCTCTAGAAGTTTAAGAAGCACATCTAAGGAAAATTTCATTGACACTGCCCCATTCTTGCATCTTCCCATAAACTGGAAGCACTCAAATCATGAGATGTGGTTTTTGTGACTAGCAGTCATCTTTTACCAAGATACACGCTGACTACCTGCGTTTCCCAGCCAAAAACGCCATATATATCCTGGCTCCTCCGCTACCTCTTTGGAGCAGTTCTTCAGCGTTACGGAGAGGCCGTCTGCTAGGCTGTGGTCCAGTAAGGTCCCCGGAAAAAGCAAACACATAGTTCCCATTGCGCAATGTTTGTTTGTTGGTTTGGTTTCATATTTGGCTTTTTATCGACAGTTCCCACATAGACTGCATTCACTGTGTTCACTCAAAATAAATCGAAGCAACTTTGCTAGAAGGACTGAGACCAGCCAGGCTGGGCAGAGCTGGACCCAGGTGTGCAGAGGAAGATGTAGCGGGAGACTTGGCCATCGTGGTCAGGAGTTAGCATCTGGCTCTGGGGACGCTGGGAGCCACAGGGCAGGAGGTGGTGGCGGGACGTCTGTGTGGGTGATCTCTTCTGCTGATCCCAACCTTGGAGTCCATCTCTGGGCACCTACTGCTTAGGGAGACATTAATCTGTTATTACTCTTCCAACAACTACACTGAGAGGGGGCGTGAGTACCTCTAGTTTTGAGAAGTGGAAACCAGAGCTTAGAGGGTTGACGCCACTTGCCCACTGGGTCTGTGGCCCTCGGGGCCCAGCGTTTCCTCTGCCCCGGGTAGGAGGACAAAATCCCTGGAGGGCTGATTACAAGGCAGCCAGACCTCCTGGGGGTGGCTGGTGGTCCTCTTAGTTCCTGTTGCCCCTCCCTGGGGTGGGAGGAGGCTAGGTTGGGCTGGGCGGGGGAGGGGTTGGAGGAGGAGCCCAGGGCTCTGAGTTTCCATTTCCTACCACCAGGAGGAGGGCAGGTAGGGAGGGAGGGGTCAAGAAAGAAGAGGAGGAAGGGGAGGAGGAGGGGAAAGGAAAGCATTTCTAGGGCCCTGCCCTAGGCTCTCCCTCCCTCTGGCATCTGGCCAGGCTGCAGTGGTGCTGTCCAGCCTGTGCACTGGTCTCAGTGCACAGGGACCCGACTGATGCCTGCCACTTCTCTGTAGCCAAATTCAGCTCTGTAGTGTCTGGCCCCAGCCCCCTCGACTGCCCCTCCCAGGCTGCTCCGGGAGGAAGAAGGTCTTGCCCAGTGTCTACGCTCCTCCCAGGGCACTTCTGTGGTGCCCACAGCCCAGCCCAGGGGGGGCTCTCCACCCCCTCCTCCCCAGTCCTTAGCATTGCCTGCATTGCCCTGCTCCTGCCGTCCTGTGATTCGCAGGGCCCCAGCCTGCTGACCTCCGCCCCTCACTCAAAGGCTATCTATCCCATGACCATGGATGCCAGGTAGCCGTGGCCTGGCCTGGGTTTGTCCTGCCTCAGCTTCCAGATTTCCTCTGCTTCCCCTGCCTGGCTCCCCTGGATTTGGGGGGGAGGGGGTATGAGACCATTCCCAGAGCTGGTGGCAGAGCCACAGCCCAGCTGGACCTCCCCTCTCTGAGCCCTACACAAGGATGCTTTCTGGGACTCCTTGGGCAGAGGGGTCATAACTTCAGAGGGTGCATTCTGGGAGGACAGCCCCCTGGAGAAATCTGAGTGACACAATGGAGTCCTGGGAGGGACTGCATTTAAGGTCTGGGTGAAGAGTAGGGGATAAGGGGTGCTCTAGGGGTAGGGCTGCTGGGACAGGACCTGGGGACTCTGAGTTAGCCAGCAAGGTGCTCTTGCCTGGGCGCCCACATGCAGCCCCAGGCTGATGGGAGCCCTGAGGCTGCCCGCCGCCCCGTCTGCCCTCTTCCCTTTAATTTAACATCTGGGGACAGAGCAGGGCGGGGCTTTCTCTGATTTTCTTCCCTGAGCTTCCTTCTGTTCACTTTGTGTTTTTTCCTCCAGTTTCTTTGGTTTAGGGGTTTGATTCAAGTATTTGAGACAGGAGGGAAGGGGGCAGGGCATGACCATTAAAAGAATGACACAGCAATTAGCACCAAGATGGGGGAAGATTCAACTCCCAGGAGGCCTTGAGCTTCAATATACGCTCACTGAAATACAATGGCTGCTGAATGGCCCTCCCACGGGTGCCAAGGCAGTTTTAAGGCCGACCATAAAAGAGGGTGGGTGATGGTCCAATTCCTGAGAATCTCTGTCCCTTCCCCAAAGTAGCTAGAATAACCCTCCTACTTGTTAGCATATGAAGTTACCAGGCGCATAAAAACTAGCAACACCGCGCATCTTGGCCGCTCTGGCTTGAGTGAGAAGGGCCGCACTCGGTCCACGTGCATGCTAGGCGTGCTCTCTACCACTGAGCTATACCCTCCCCCCTCTGCTTCTGCTTTAAACTGAGCACCCAACCCCTTCACCTCATGGCCTTTCTCTGCCCTTCTGAAACAGCCTGCACTCTGTCTGTGGAGTATGTGTCTCTCTAAATAAACCTACCTGTACTCAGCTGTGGCTCACTCTTCAGTTCTTTCCTGCGTGAAGCCAGGGACCCACGCTTAGCGGGACACGTTAGGGGCTCAACCAAGACCTGGGACACGGCTGTCTCCTCGCCCCACATGGCCCATGTTTTTCCAGTATCATATTGTCACTTTTTTCCCCTTTTTACTGAAACCAAAGGTTAGGGGTTTAAAATTGTTTTCTAAAGCACTGATGCTTGATTATAGTCTTGACTATACGGAACGTTATTTTCTTGAGTTCGTCTCTTTAAAGTCATTTCTGCTTTACTGCGTCTTGCTTAAAGGGCACTTTGAGAAGTCTGACATCAGTCTGCTGCTGTTTTCCTGACACAGGCTTTGTGGATTGTAGGCAATAAGGGTGGTTTCTGTACCTTTCAGAATTTGTACAGGCGTAGTCTTAGAGGTCACCATTCTCGGTCATTTTCCCAGGAATGGGTGAGTCCTTTTAGTGCAGATTTGGGTCATTTTGTCCTCTTGCTTGCCTGCCTTCCCATCCCATGCCTCTGCCACAGTTTCCGACCTGCAATTTCACAGCCTGCTCCCTTGGAACTTCGTAAGTCAGTCTTTACTTCCAAGCGGGTCCTTAAGTTTTCCTCCATCTCCGTCCTCACCCTCATGAGGAAATTTCTCATTTCATGTCTTCACTTTGATCGCCTATTTTTGTTTTGAGGTTCTGAATTTCTGGAGCAAGGTGTTCGCTCATATTTTCAAACGTTTTAATTCGGGTATGACGGATTCTTCTGCTTCCTGGCTGGTTTTCCGGGACATTTGTCAAGAAAAAAGTTTTCCTCCCCTTTTAC